CAATTAAGAGCCAACGAGCCGTCCTTCACCATTTTCTCTTGAGTGGCTGAGAAGGGCCCCAATATCCCAACCCAAACAAGAGTTCGACAGCTGGGTAGGCGCACCATCAAAATCAGACCTTGGGGCATGGCAAATCGGCTGTCCTGGGGGTTGAAGGTGTCCCAATTGCGGGAGCAGCTTCACCCAAGCCTTGCTCGCAGGTTGCACACGTGGGGGTGGGGGGTGGGGGGCGGGTAGGTGATTAGGAACATCATATTAAATGGCAAGTGGAAAATCTTCAGTACTTTTCTCGCGAACCCAGCCTTATGTTTCTTTCTGTGCTTGGGCCGCTGGGGCTCAGGCCATGTGCGATGTGAGCCAGTGGCAAAAGGATTTGGGGATCGGAGAAAACCCCCATGTTCTTCAATGGCCGCCAGCAAATGTGGCAGGGGTCCACGCCTGCGCGCCGTAGGCTCCATGCAGCGGTCACATGAAGAATTGTACATGAGACATGGGGAATTGCACCTGGCCCTAGTGCAACATGGAGAATTGGAAGGCTGATTTGGGCCGGGCGGCGTTGCTTGGCTCGCCCGCCCCGCGCTCGGGGCTCGCTCCGCCATGCAGCCGAGCGCAGGCCGGACATGATCCACAAGTCAGAACGTTGAGCGTGTTCTCCACGTGCGAGCCAAACCCGGAGTTGTTTTTTGGATGCGGAAAGCCATGTTTTGGGCTCCGTTTTCTGTTTTTCTTCACGAAGGGCTTGCAAAAAGGGGTTGGGCTCGAGTTGTTTCCTCGCTGAGCTCCAGCCGTGGGCTAACGGCAGGCGTGAAGACCGAGGAGGGCCTGGTGATTTTTGAGGGGAGTCCGCACAAGGTCAAGGCGTGCGGGGATTTGGACACACGATGACCTTGGCACGCTTTCCGAGCCTTGAAGTTTTGCCAGCCTTGCCGCGCGGACTTGCAATCTTCGCGTGATGCATGGTCATTGATCCAAGGCCTCTGTTAGGTTTTGGGGTAAAGCACCAAACTTGGTGGCTCCCAGCCATCCGGTTCCTTAGCTTCGCCTTTTAGTGTTTAGTGGTAGTTTCCGTATTTAACCCACTAAAAGTTAGTCAAACTTTTAGCGGGGGATAGGGCAGCCCAGAAAACACAAATTTTAAGTGTGGCAGGCTTCGAAGCCCCAGAGTAAAGCCACGATCGGCGCCCGAAGGCCGAAGGCCAGGAGGAGTCACTTCGACGCTTCGATCGTCGTCATTTCCCGGACATGCCTTGGATGTGTTCTCTTCGGAATATGGCTGTGGCTCAAAGAACCGGTACCAGAATAGAACCTTGGTAAGTGGAAACATGGACCAACACCTGCGTAACCCCTCCTGTTTAATTTTGAGCCACACCCATATGTTTACAAATATCTCGAGCCGTCAAGATGGTTGTTTTATGCCACACCACCAAGTGTGCCACCATTATCCGGCATCCGCCGATGCATAGAGACAAAGCACAACGAGGGTGAAGGAGTCGCTCAAACTTGCACAGACGTGGACTCTTGCAAACTACTGGTAGGAGCCTTCAGGAAGCTCTGTGGAAAAACAAGAGAAGCAACGCTTAACACTTCAAACATGATAGGCAATTTTCAGGTCCAGTGTTTGTGTTCTTGTGCTTGTGTGTTTGTGTGCTCAAAGGCAAGACCAACCTTAACCTGCTGAAGCGATTCTACACTTACCATTCTTCCCAGATCTGCTTCACAGGGAACACAGGGCGGAAACAGGCCCCTCAATTCAGGTTTCATGCGTGGGTGGGTGGGTGGGTGGGTGGCGTTCAGTGCCTGCCATTCAGCATGGCATGTGGCACATTCGATCGACCCCACGGTTCTTCCAAGTGGATTCATGTTTTGGGGTGTTTCTTTTGCCTGAGTTTGAACTTTGAACCATTTCTTTCGTGCTAAGCGCGCCATAAGCGCTCCCAGGTGCTCTATGGGAACCTGCTGTGGACGGGGGCCCTGGCCCTTGCCAGGTTCTTCGCCCAGTCCAGCGCGGCCCCAGCAGTCCGAGGCGCGAGGGCGCGAGGTCGAGCTGGGTCGGACCCCCTGGAAAAAGAGCCTGCGTCTTGGTGTCCCAGTTCAGGTGGGGGATTTGCCATTCGACTATCTCCTACTTTCAAAGCAAGCTATGAATGGACAAACTGGTCGCACAAGAGCATTGGAGATTGTCTAGCAGCATAAGGACACTGATCAGACTTTTCTTTGTGCCTTGCAGTTCATTCCTGAGTGATTCCCAGCCGTCTCCAAGCTGATCAGCTGCAACAAAGCTGTGGAAACGCGTGCCGCTGAGTCACTCACGACACACGACAGGCCGATCGGTGCTGGAGCTGGGTGCGGGCACTGGGGTGGTGGGCCTTACGATGGCACGCCTTGGAGCGGCGCCTCGAATCCATAGCGTGTGTGTGTGTGTGTGGCTGGGTGGGTGGGTGTACGGGGAGCTTGCGGATCCCTTGACCTCTTCATTGGGGTTGGATGGACGGGCTTTCGTGGATATCTTATTTCTTGCAGGCTTGCCATTGAATCCGATAAAATGTGATAGGACGGCATAGCGGCCCTGTTAGGGGTTCTCCGACTGATCTCTCTCGACATCAAGGGTGATTGGGCGGACACCATGGCTTTAGGGAGCCTTGAGGGACAGGACACGAGAATAGGGTTTAGGCAAAAAGCCAGAATCGTGGCCCACCTGGGATTGTTTCCCAAATGTATAGATACACGCGCACACGCACATGTATACATAACATATACATTAGTTATACGTACATACGCATGCACGCATATGCATGTCATGTATATGTGAAGAAAGTGGGAACCCCAGCCTACACGAGCTGGTTCCCTTTTGAAAAGGGCGCTTAGTTTAATCTTGAAGCACAACCACGTGCCTGCTGGCAACAGGTCGCCCTTGGGTTAAATTCCTTTTTTGCTATCAGCATCTCTGGATGTGTGATAGTTGTTTTTACGACAGGACCTTTGAACATACTTATTGACCAGCCATATCCAACACTGTCTTACCCATGCAGAAGCATGAGTACCTGATCTCATCATTTGACCTCTGCAATGCCACAACAGGACGAGCGTCAGCAAGCCAAAACAGGAAGTTTGGCGATGCTTCCTGTAAAATATCAGATCATGATGGAGACGGACGGCCACGGCCCAGCCAACAGCTAAGGCGTCCTGCTTTTCCGTGGCTCATGTTGAGGCGATGCAACCTATGGTCCGTTGCTGTTCAAAACTCTGAGCTACCATCTACTATGAAGGAGACTGATCACGAAAGCTAGCTTTAGCTAGCTGAAGTTTCTCCTTGCGTAAGCAAGGTAAGGGGCTCAAATGCCGAAAGATTGATTTTTTCAATTATTTGAGCCGAAAAGATTGAAAAATATCAAATATTTAGACCCCCCCTCCCCCAAAAAATGGAGAAAAGGGGGGGCCTGGGGGAAAGAGGGAGGAGTGTAGGGGTTATTGGGTCAAATGTTGTTATCCAACGTTTTAACACCCTTGTTTGATTTCATCCTATATTTTGTTGTAGGGTGTTAGGGGTGGATTTTCTGGGGGCCGACATTTTTTTCATTTGAAAGAGTTGGCCCTTTTAGTAGTTATTTTGTTCTGGGGTGTTGGTGGTTCATTTGTTTATTCCTATTCTTGTTCAAAGTCACTTGTTGTTTCCATGTAATCTCTCACTGTATCGTTATTGTTTTCTTGACCTTTCACTCTTAGTTGGTGCTTACTTGTTTGTTGGTGTTTTTTCATTCTGTATTTTCCTACCATGCATTTACATAAAGAACATTCTACTTTCAATTGGTTATAGTCTTTCTGTTTTTCATTTATGTCTTCTTTGTTCTTTTCTCTATATTCTTTTGCTTTTTGTTTTATGTCTTCTCTACGGTTTTGACGATAATTCTTTTTCTTTTCTAGTATAGCGTCTTTGTTATTCTCTCTGTATGTCTTATTCTTATCTGCTATTTGTTCTTTGTTGTTTTCGTAATACTCCTTTGACTTCTGCTGTATTTGTTCTTTGTGTGCTTCTCTATACCGTCGTTTATTTTCCAAGCATACATTACATTGTTTTCTTCCTTCGTTGAACTTTTCTATCAATTGAAAGACTTTACATTTGGAACATTGTTTTTTGTCTGTCATTGGTCTCTATATGTTTAAGGGGTTATTTCTTTAGATAAGTTTAAGGGCTGTCATAGGTTAAAATTTCAGTATAATTATAACATATAAGATTTTACATGTTATTATTATATTATGATTATAATTTCAGTTCAGGATAATAATCTAATTGGTTTGTCTTACTTCTTTCATACATCATTTTAAAAATAATATTAACATCTCTCACTGTATTCTGAACATTAAACTTTTTACTTTCAATAAATAATTTGATATTTTGTTTAACATCTTCTCCTTTCTCTTGACTATAAC